AAAAACATCTGATGTTGGATTAAAATGTGAATACTTTTGCCATACGTTGAAAGATGAAAACTGTCGCTAGATTACATTGATTATTTACAAGAATTGCCTCAAACTGTCCTTCAAAAAAAAATTCAACCTGGGTGGGATCGTATTTTATAACACTAGCGTCGTTAAACGGGATTTTACAGCTGTCAAATTCTTCTCTTCTAATACATTATGATTTGTTTTTAATCGTTTTCCATCCCCATATACAGATATTGATCCAAACCCTGATTTGAGATGAAGTAATTTAGAAAGAAACGTTTGTGAACTTAAGTTCATGGCCTTCTGGCATGCAAGTTTGTTCTTATTTCACATACCCAATGATTTATTTGTCCACAAAACTTGCAAACTTGCGTAAGAACTTAATAGAAAACTATGAATTAAAAGGCAACAGCCTATGGCACGTGGAAACTTCGTGCGAGAGAGTCGTTTCAAGAAGCAAAAAGCCGCTTTTTTTGATGAATTTGTATACACTTTATTATTATAATGTTCGTGACGAATATTCTAAAAGCCTGGCTAACACGACAGTATTGTTTTTTAACTGTTATGCACCCCTGTCGTATAAACAATTATTTTCGCACCTTAAAATTAATATAGCATTTTTTTCTTTATTGGCAATAAAAAAAAGTTCGGAAAAGTTCCAAAAAGAACATTTTTGGGACCTAGTTCACATTGCATGACGTTCCAGAACTTTTTCTTCATTGAATGTTTAAATAATCATTCTGAAACAACAGTCCTCACCCCCAAATGCCAAGTGAATGGGAAAACAAAAAACGCAGTAGTCATTTAATGCGTTTAAGGAGCTTGTAAAATTATGGAACTGTTTTGACATAGAATACAAAAGGCTTACTTTAGTCAAAATCTTCTATGGTTAAGACTTTACTTCCCCGTGGGAAGTTAATGAGTGATAGTACAAATAATCATCATTACAATTTGTATCTGTAGATTTTTCTTCTCTTCTTTTTTCGTCGTTCTTTCATTTCGTTTCGATTAATATTTCAGAGAAATTTCTTTTTCAAAAATCTACAAAACAAGAGGCTTGTAATGGGCATTTTTCATGCACAAATGACGTTTAAAGAGAGTAGTAAACAGGAGCAGATAAGGAACTTATTATCCCGCCCAATTTTAATTAATAATAAATGACGGTAGAAATTAAACTTAGACGTTTTGGCTCTACAAGAACCTAGCAGTTCCAGAGATGGGCAACTGATGGTTGCTGTATTTATCTCATTTTGCTGAAAAGATTTTTGTAAAGCGAACCACTCTGATGGTGGGTTAAAAACGCTTTCTTTTTTGACAAGAATCTGAAGATGGCCCGCCGTCGCTGCCCGATGCTCTCTTTCATATTTATTCTTGTTTTGTTTGGAGGCTGGTGCTACACCTTAACAGTTGCAAACCATGGTGAGTTAACTTTGAAATTCTTTTGTGTGGGTTGGATGAAAATGTAGACTATGG